GAACATCATGAACATCATGGGTTTGAAAAAGAAAATCCTGAATGCAATGCAAGTTGCTTTAATAAAATAATAATAATAATAATAATAATATTTAACTTTTTATTATATGGCACCTTAACAAAGCTTCTCTGAAAAAACAGAAGGACTTTAAAATAAACATCCAAAATTAGAGAATTAAATCAGGTATTGAAATCAAACTTTGGATAAAAGTGCCAATTGCATAAAAATGTAAAAATTTAAAGTATAATGTATATAATAAAAAAAGAAAACTGCAAAAATCTAAAAACCGGATTTCACACTCATTTCACACAAATGTTATAGTATATAAACTCCAAATGATAAAAATATTAATTCACTTTATTTCATATAGTGCCTTTAAACAGAGTTTCTCAAACAGAAAACAGGAAAATTGTAAAACAAAAAGTAAGAGAGAATAAAATTAAGTATTTAAAGCAAGCTTTGGATATAGTGCCAAATAATGTAAAAAAAACAACAACAAAAAAACAACAACTGTATATCAGTGTTATTTAAGTATCATTATGATACTATTATACAGGCCTATTTTATTATTATTTTGAATCAGTATTTGTTTTTTGTTTTCAGTTTAATTTTAGTTAAAGTTTTAGTGGTTTTATTGTTTTTTTGTCATTTTTTTTTAAATATATGTCTATACAGTTTTTATTATTTTTTTCAGTTTTATATAATTTTAGTACAATTTAAACTAAATTAAAATAAGAAATGAGAAACTAGCTGAAATATTTTGAAATTGTCTGAAAAAATTATTAATTTAAGTTTTTGAATTTCATTTTATTGCAGTTAATGTTTATTTTATTTGAAGTAATGAAAATATTTTCAAGTAATGGCACTGTATATATCTCCGGAGAACTGCTGTGTTAGAAGAGATGCACTGCTCTGGACTCTGATGACTGTAGGAAACAGCATCATGGATCTGAGCGCAGCAGATGTTGTGTGAGTCCTGCTGATGTGCTGATGGGAAAGAGTTTATGGCCGTCATTAGGAAGCTCTTTTGACGTCTCTTATAGGGTTGTGGCCCGTGACAATGGAGGCCGATCTGTCTTTCAGAGCGTCTCTATTCTCCTGCTCACTCCACAATCAGCACAAAAGAGCACGAGCTGAAACATAATCCAGCTCAAAGTGTTTTCTTCATCACTCTGGACAATGAGGCCGATCTCCACGACTTTAGATTCTCAGAATCACAGCAGATCTCATTACCGGCTCAGCCCTTTCTCCACATCACATGAGAAACAGCAGAGTTTTCTGCTTCAGTTTCTGCTGCTGCTGCTGCTGTCACAGATCTCAGTCTGAACTCACACAGTCTCAGCTGCTCCACACTCATATTTACATTCATTTGAGAACTGCAGGAGAAACATCTGATGCTTCAGAGGAACGGAGAACTTCATGAGCTCTGAAAGAGCAACAGCTGATCCAGAGTCAGTGTGGAACAGTGTGTGTTTCAGTGTGTGTGTGTGTGTGTGTCTGTGTGTGAGGCACCATATTTCCAGCATGAATGGATCTGCGCTCTGATTGGCTGTCTGACTCTGCTCTCTCTTAAGTGTGTCTCGAGTACCCTGCGGAGCCCCAATCGGCCCCTCCAGCATAAAGCAGGGCCTCGTACCGCCGCAGTCTGGGTGACACGGTTCACAAACACACAAACACCACTGATATCCATTAAAACAACATCATTCACTGTGAGAGACACCGCTGATAAACAATCCTCATTGCCGTCAACATCAACCACATGCACCACACACACTCAGCGTGTTTAATTATCACACACACACACACACACACATCAAATCATTGACTTTTTGTTAATATTTCAAAACAGTTTTTATTTTTATATCTTCCATTTTCATTTTAGTTAAAAATTTTAGTTGGAATTTTGTTTTTCACATTTTACTAGTTTTTTTATATGTCTTCCATATATATATATATATATATATATATAGTTTTATTATTATTAATATTTGTAATTTTTTTATATTGTTTTTATTTTAATTTTAGTTAAAATGTTGAAATTTTGTTTTTTACATCTTTTACTAAATTTTTCTAAATATGTCTATAGTTT